GATCGGTCCCCGACTTACGACTCGCCAATTTTTCCCGAGTCGCTCCAGATCGGTCTCCGACTTGCGACTCACCAGTTTTTTTTCGAGTCGCTCCAGATCGGTCCATTGACCAGCGACTCGCCAAGCCACGTCATGATCAATGCCACGCCATGAAACAGCTAAGTCAACAAGAGGAACACCCCCACGCGCTGAGCTAGAATCCGTACCAAGGCGTTGCTCGGTACGTCTCATCCCGAAAAGCTCAGGACGGCGCCGCATGGCATCGCTCCGCACATCCCGGGACGACAGCCGCATGAAGGTACCATCTCACCTCTCGAGGATCGGCCGCCACGCCAAACGCGCACACGACCGACCCTCGTACAGTAGTATAAAAGCCCCTGGCCGGCATCCGGCCCAAGGGAAGGCAAAAAACAACTCAACCCACTACTGATATGCTTGTCGGAGGGGCCATAGTCAGTAATCACCCGACAAAGGCCATCCTTGTAGGAAAGTGGCCACCCCGAGCCACGAGCATTTCGACCTTGAGTCATCGACCAACGTCCCGACGGCGAGCCACCGACTGTCGTCTGGATCGAGAAACACTGATCAACACCCTGACGATGGCCCCCCGATTCCAAGGGCTTGATCGACCTTGGCGACTAGCTCAGTCGATTGAAGACTCCCGACATCGACCCGTGGATCAGGCCGTGCTGACTCATCAGCCACGGCGCATCAGTTCACCAACAAAATCTACCAACCAACTAATCATCAACGGACCCTACATAGAAGTCACCCGAAAAGCACAAGCAACCCATCCAAACTCTATGCCAAGAAGCCTGAACAGGAAATAGAAGAAACTCCTCTGCCGAAAGATCATTAGAACACCAGTTACTAACCTAGAAATAGCTTCAAGATTTAGATGCATCAGAACAAGAATGCTTAGCCGAGCAACAAAGAAGAAGAGAAAACCATCGGGCAGAGGAAGAGATAAGTTCACCACAAGAAGTTCTCAAAACACCAAGAACTCCATCAAAGATGCACCAAAACAGACATTCTTGATCATGCATCCGAGACTACCACATACCATTTTCTCAGTGAAACATTAACGCATGCAGGTTAAAGAAGAAACACTCTTTAAAGAGCATCACAATGCAAGAGCCCAACCAAGCAACCAATAAGACTAGATACCCATTTTCCTAAACCGTCGAGGAACCCTAAGCTCAAAGAAACAAAACCAGCGGCCTGTACCAAATGCACCACCAGATAGAAAAAAACATTCACCAATATTAACTGTGACAAAAGCTCACATTAACCATAAGCAACAAGAACAAGATCAACAACCACTGTATCACAGAACCGGGGCAGAGAAACTGAAGGAGTGGGAGAAAAGGAAAACTCGGTTGAGGAAGAGGGGATCAACGGCGCACCTGCTGAATGATATCAGTGGTGACTTGATTTGGGGAAGCATAGGCTGCCATCATGGGCTGCTGTATCTGCATGAGGTGCTGCTGCATCTCCCAAACCCACCCTTCCTTTCCAGACACCCTCGCTGCTCCTCTTTTAGGTTATATATACATGAAAGAGAGAAGCAAGAAGAGAAGAGAGGGCAGGGTGGTGTCTTCTTCAGCTTGCTTGGGGCTTTCTTCAAGCCTTCTCCCTCCCTTGTAGTTGCCGTCAAAGGTTCCACTCACCGTCTCGTTTATTTACTTTAAGCATGTAGCTTAATCCAGAAGAGTGATAACCACAGGTCGGTGAATAAAGATGCGAGGTGACGATAGGGGCGGTGAGGGGAGATAGATTCCATCGGTCACGTGCGAGGCAGGCGAGGGTGGGGGCCGACAGGGAACCTACGAACTGGGAAGTCTTCGGACCACACGCATGGACTGTCGGAACCGATCGGACCGGGCCGGTCGGAGGATGAGTATTCAAGTGGATGCATGTCATCTCCTCCTTGTTGTGTTCTTGCCTTGATTTGATTCCACCATCACTTGCGTTGCAGCTGGGGATGGGGAGGTGGATGGATTGGCTTGCACTGGATTGAATTATTTGGGATTCAGACACTGTTCATGGGTTATGTTTGTGCATGGCTGTGTGCCTTTCGCAGGTCCAAGAACAAGTTCTTGTTTCGTGCTTTGAATCTTTCCTTCAAAATGGAAAGATGGGTGGATTGAATGATTTTGGATGCAGTCACTGTTTTGTGCAGTACTGCTTCAAAATGCACTGCAAGCGGTGGCCACCGGAGCTGCCCTCAATCAAACATTTAGGTGGAAGTGAAAGACGAGGGAGGGGGAAAAAAAGTAAAAGAGATGCTCCCAATTCCCCAAACAAAGGAAGGGGTTGCTGGGGCTCGTTATGGGCTGGCTAGATGTGATGGGATGAGATGGGATTGGCATCTCATATATCCCAGCTTGTGG